TAAGCTTTAAGATAACTACTTTATTTATATGAGCTTTTCAGATCTCAATTAATATTTAAGCCAGCATCTTGCCACACCCATCACCTTAGTCCCTTCCCACTAATCAATCTCCTCCCTTTAAGGCTGTCCACCAGCATCCTTAGTTCCTTCTCTCTCAAGACTATTGGGAGTGTTGCCTTAGCTTCCCAGCCTCTAAGGGCCTTGAATTCAGTGAGCTGGCTTCCTAGGCAATCAGACTTGTGTTCACTCTCATTCAAACAGTCTAAGCACTCACCAGCTTCAGCCTTCTAATCTGTCAGACTGAAATAATATAAAATAATACCACTTACCCCACAAAGACTTCACCTAGACTCCTTTTTTTTTTTTTTTTGGTGGATCATGGGGCTTCAACTCAGGGCTTTGGCACTGTCCCCAAACTCTTTTGCTCAAGGTTAGCACTCTATCACTTTGAGTCATAGCACCATTTCCAGTTTTCTGGTGGCTAACTGGAGGTAAGATTCTCATAGATGTTCCTGCCCACACTGGCTGTGAACCACAATCCTCAGAACTTAGCCTCTTGAGTAGCTAGGATTACAGGCATGAGTCACTAGTGCTCAGCCAGACTCCTTTTTAATGACAACTAACAAAACCCAATACTGGCTACTCATTATTTTGAAAGTGAAGCAACATTTCTTCACCTTCAAAATCCTCCAGTGGTACCCAATCTCATTTCCCAATGACTCCTTTCTCCTTTCTCAACACCAACTTCCAGTAGTGCAGTGACACCACAAGGTTTCAAATTTCTGAAAACTATCTTTCATCTCTATATCTCTATGTATTTTCTAGTGCTCTTCTTAACACTACAATGTTCTTTCTCCATTAGAAGGGTATAAGTCTAACTCAAAACTCTATTTTAAAGCCCAGGTCAAACTCTACCTAAGCCATGGAGAAAACCCCACTTCCAGTTGGAAATGGCCTCCTCACTCTTATGTGTTCCTCTTGGGTTCTCCCCTTGATCTCTTTATAGATCCGTTATTTATTTCATTTTTTTTCTTCCACAACTAAGTGAAGTGCTTGAGGAATAGGAGTCTTCCACAATATCAACTTAAGTAAAAGTTCAGAAAATAACTGAATAATGGAAAGCATTCTGGAATAACAATATTAGTCATAAAAATTCAGAAGACTGCATTCAGGACAGCAACCCTAACATCACCATGAATTCTGAATAAGGCACACAGGGCATTGGAGAAAATGCATGTTCATATGTGGCAACCAGAGATGCTTTCTGCTGTAGGTGCCTCAAAGGGATTAGTTGAAAAGTCTATGTATCTCCATACTGTTAGCCCTCTAACAATTGCCAATGATATAAATTTATGATCTTTAACACTGGAAACATACCAGGAAAAAAAGCAAGATCAATGCTCATGTGGCTTCATAGCAAAAATGACCAACCAAAGAAATCTTAATCAAAGTTCAGTAATTACTTAATGTAAAACTCCCCACATCCCCCATCATCACACATCAAATTCTGTCAGATTCACTGTCTATATGTATTCCCATTGCCTAACTCCAAGCTAACACCTCCACCTAACCAATTACAATAGCTTTAAGATTCTTGCCAACATTTCCTTCTTCCTCATTCAACTTTTCCTCTGAACTGAAGCCAGAGATCCAACAAGGCCCACAACTGATTGTGCATGTCCCTGATTGTGCATGTCCCTTCCTTGTTGGCTTTTCTTTGCCAAAAGACAAGCCTAAACTCCTTAGGGATGGTTTACTAGGTATTTCTCAACTGAATTTTAGCTTTTTTCCAGCCCATCTCTTTCCATTCCCCATGAATCACCAATAGCTTCCAGTCGGCTCATTCTGCCTTAAATGTTCTTCTTGCCCTGAACTTCTCTGTAACCACTGTAACCACAAGTTCAAACACAAGAATCACCTGGTAACTCATGCCCTTTCCCCACAGACCATCAATTAAGACTAGCAAATACAATGTTTTTAAAAAATATAAATTTCTTAAAATAATGAATGACTAAATATAAGTATTCCTATCATAATTTTTAGGAAACATAATCTCATTTCTGCCTTATTTCAAGTCCTCACATAATTATAATAGTGCCACCTAATTTTGTCTACAGTTAGTTAACAATAAATTAGAAAAACGGATGAGAAACCTGTGATACACATTTAATCTTTTTCTTTTATTTCAGCAACACTTTGACACAAGCACATGCATGCATTTATAATCATGGCAGTTGCCAGTCTAAGAAAAATATGAGAAATGCTTACTCAGAACACTCTAATCCCCTTCAATTTGTAATGAGACACAATAGCAACCAAGGCTTTGTTCTATCAGTTTCATCCTTCCCAAAGCAGTGGTACTTCAAAGTCACTTTCTCATCTTGGCACACATGGATGAGAAAGGATGTGACATTCTAGAACTAGAAGATCCATTAAATTTGGTCAAAAGAATAACTCAATAGTCAATTTGGATTCTAACTTAAAATTTAGACACTGTCTACTTCGCTAGCTTTGACCTAAGACTGGCAGATGAGCTAGAGGAAGAATTTCAAGCCATAATAAAATCTGTTTATAACTCCAAGGTTTGGCCAATATTGCTAAAACAAGGACAGAAAGTCATGGACTTAGGTCTACATTGCACACTGTAGTCTCCTCTGCCCATGCTATAAGCTGAAAGTTGTAACTGAGTTTCCACGACCCAAAGCAGATGACTGTGACTAAAATGAAAGGACGGGAAAACTGAAATGCTCCTGAGCACTGACAACATAATTGGTAATCAAAGATGTAGCTTTACATAGATGTTCAAGATAAAGTCAGGAAGCTTTCATTTTAAACTATTATAAAAAGTATGAGCATCTGACATGGGAACTCATTTAATGGAGCAGCACATTAGTATCAGCCCCAACTGCTGATTGGTTCAAGGGGTCATTCAGCAGAGAGAGATCACAGAATGGCTGTTTACATGTATCACTAAGAAAAAAAAATCATCTTAGGTTCACTTTTCCTTACTTCAGGCCTCCTAAGAAAGTATCCGTGGAAAATTCATAATTCCAACCTTCATATCTATGTAACTGTCTTCCCTATCAGAAATATAAACATTCCAACAAATGACACTCATGTAAGAAGCAGAAAATCTCAAATGTTTTAGTACAAACTTAAAATGAAGGCTTAAGAGTAACAGAGGAAAAATTCCATTGAAAAAGCTGTAAATCTTCAACCAATAAATTTCTGTTTCCTTTACAATGATCTCCACCATACTGAGACTTCAAGTTACATATTTGGAGGGTATCTTATTAATGGTACTGTTTCTAATATTCTGAATTGGACTACGTATGAAACAAAGGCAACACAGGTATTTTTTTAATAAGCATAAGTTCTGTGGTATGATGCTAATAATGTTTAACTGTGATAAAATTGTGTACTATTTGATTTCGAAAGAACTTGTTCTACCTCAAGTTGTCATTGGTTCATTGCATCTCATCTGAAACCAGTTATAGATATAACATTCCTTTTAAGACCATGAGAAAAGAAAAATGCTCACAATTACACAATGACATGTCTTCATGTTATCAACTGTTAAGATAGTTTGACTTCAGAGATGCTAAAATGTAGGGAAATATACATCATGAAATCAATCAAACAAAGCATACAATGAATCAAAAGGAATATTATTTTAATAAATCTAAGCTACACAATAGGCTAGTAAATACAATGTCTAAATATGCGTAAATATCCTAAAGACATGACAGGTTAGAGGTTACTCTAATATAGTCAAACTTAAGAGTGATTGTAACAACTTGAACAAGCCCCTAAAATTTTCGATAATACTTTGCAAAAGTAAGGCCTCCAATTGCACTGAAAGAGTTGTATTTACCCTGAAACGGTTTGATCAAGACTTCCAAACTGCCTAATAATTCTAACTCTTGAGACCCTGACTGTTACTTCTAGGGATGTGCTATGCTATTAAACTAAAAAGCCAGCTTAGCTCCCAACATCTCATCACCTCTCCTGTTCACTTATATTAATGGACTTAGGATCGGAAAAAAAAAGCATGAAACACCCACCCCCCCTTAAAAAGGGTTGAAAATAATATTTCAAGGGAAAATAAAAGTCAGAGAAAGACATATTTATAAGCAAAGAGGAATGTTCTGCAGAGGATTGTACTGCACCAAGAGCAAAAAGTCTTACAAACAACAAATCAGCAGGTCATCGTGTGGAGCAGAAGAAAGTGGCTGCATTGTCTTCCTGGTGTGAGGCCAGCTTTCTCGGTTCTGAGATGCAGGCTGAATAACTGCTTTCAGAGGGACCAAGCCCAATGTACTTTCCACCAGCTTTCACTGAATTCAGACAAAGTCACTCTTGTTGGAACACAGTGTTCATGGGATATTGGGAAAGCTCCCTCTGACCTTCCCACTTCATAAGAACATGTCTACCCTGTGCTGTTTTAATCTATTTTTATGGACTTAGGATACATTCTTTGACAATTAGATCCATCTAAACATACTCCTTGAAAATCCATATTCTCATGGTAGGTTGGGAGGGATGGGTGAGAATGTTGAAAGGGGTAACTTTGATTAAGATGCACTGTATTTATAACTGCTTTGTTGAATGGCATCTCCTTTGTACAACTACTTAAAAGACTACAAATAAATTAAGTCTTTATTCTCTAAACTATTTGATGGGACAAAACTCTGCATATTTTGATGGAAGTTTTGATTTGATGGAAAGCCATCAGTTCAGGTTGTAACAAATATGCATTCATGTTTATTTTCTTAAGCAGAATCCATATTTCTACAAGACTCACTTTGGAGAAAAGTTCTAGTTCAAGTCCTAAATAACTAGCTGAGAGCTATGAAAAACTAAGGAGGATGCTTTGGGGTAAGAAAAAAATTCCCAAATGTAAAGAATTGAAAATAAAACAGTCTTTTTCTCAAACACATAATGAAGCAGAAACATTCTCCATCCCTTCAAACCTGAATCCCAGTAGGAAAGGGGCTTACGTGTTCAGACTTCTCCAATTCTTTTTTGTCGGTCAGCAGAAACTGACAATTTTCTCTTGCCAACTTCTGTACCAGTTCAATGCGCCCGATATCATCTCTCTCCTGAAGCTTGCACATCACTCCCGCCTTCAGAGTTGGAGAAAAAGCAAAGATATACTTAAATCCACAGTCCCAGGACATGACACCGCTTCAAAGTTCACCTTAAAATAAGCTCATTTTTCACTGTGCCCAGGATTAAATCATGCTCTTGATAAAATATTTTGCTTTTCCAAGTCAAAAATTATGTTGTTTTATAATACAGAAATATCATAGAGATCAAGTATCAGTCTACATTGAGAGCAAAAGGCAAACTGAATCAGTCGCTACTACGTGTGCGCCTGATATGCCCTATTTGTTTGTTCCTGACAGCCTGTTTCCTGTTACATAAGCAAAGCCTAGCAAGAGGTTAAAAATCCATGGGAAAGTTAGCCAGGAACTGCTCTGGCAAAAAGGGTGAAGTGATAGAGTCCTAAAAATAACAGTCTACAACTTCCCAATTCTTTAGCTCTGGTAGGTCATTCCATAGACAAATTCACAGCTACCAAGATGATTACAAGATTTTGTTTTCCACAAATGGAAAATTACTATGGACTATCTATAAAAGATTCCCCATGGGGCATGAAAAATGATGAGAACTGTATTAAAAATAAAAAGTTAAAGAAGGAAAGTTCATCAGGGTTTGAAAACAAATCAGAAAGCATCATCATTATAATTGTTTGTGCTGGTACCAGGGCTTGAACTCAGGGCCTGAGCACTATTCCTTAGCTTTTTTTCCTGCTCAAGGCTAGCACTCTACCATTTGAGCCACAACTGTACTTCCAAATTTTTGGTTGTTAACTGGAACTAAGTCTGATGGACTTTCCTGTATAGGTTAGCTTTGAATTGCAATTTTTAGATCTCAGCCTCCTTAGTAACTAGGATTACAGATGTGAACCACTGCCATCCAATTAAAGCATTCAGATTAACGGTTGAAGCACCCAAATTATTAATAATAAGGAGGAAGATTACTCTAGGACTTTGAAGTATAAAACAATATGGCCATTCTAATACTCCAATTATCAACTATTTCAATTCAACTTCTTCTCCAAATAATTCATACTGACATACCAAGGTATGATATACAAGAGAAATCTGACGTTATACTTGGCAGAAGCAATCAAAACCATGGAATCTTTATTTTTCCCCATACAACCTACAGGATTTGAATGTATAAAGTAACACGTCCAAATATGGGCTCCCTAGCAAGTGACCCAAGGTTCCTGGCCATCACAGTTTGTGTTAAAGGAACTCATGTGACTGATTGGCCTTAATGGAAAAGAAAGCATCCACACAAAGCAATAACTACAACTTCTATGTCCAAGGGCAGTGCTTTCTCTTAACTCAGAAGGAAACAAACCCAATATTCAAAGTGGCCCAAACACAGACTCCCATGGGGCAGCAAGTAGAATTCCACTGTCAAAAGTGAAAGGATTTATTTTTATAACAACCCTTGCAAGTGCTTTTCCAGTTCCTTTCCAGAGTTTCCTTGGACAGGGATCTCAGCTTATCAGAAGACGTTCTGTACACTTTTAGATAGCCAGAAACTGTTGGAAAGTCCCCTTTCATACCACACAAAATACCGAAACTAGTGTCAACCAGTACTAGTTTTGCCTTTCACTTCTTTTCTTTTCTAGGTCTGAGACTGGCACTTGAACTCAGTACCTGATGCTTTCACTTACTGGCTAGTGCTTTACCAACTGAGCCATGCCTCCAACTCCTTGTTTCGCCTTTTAAAGCAGTTGAAAGTAGGTAGATCCCTTGTTCCATATGACAACATATCCAATATTTAAATCAAATAGTTATTGCAATCTCTTTTCTATATCTCAGTTCTCTAAATTAATCATTCATTCATTCTCTCGAAAGACTTTAGTTGAGGAATAAGTCAGTACAGAAGTCATAAAGGCAAATAACCAAAAGGTCAAAGTCCCTCATACTCGACTATATATCACATAAATAATTCTGTAACCTAAGTAAAATTTCATGTGAATATATGTGAGAGGAAAGAAAAGGAAAGTAGGGCAAGGGAAGAGAGAAACTATTGAAGGTAATGAACTAGGAATGTCAGGTGATTCTCTACCAGGCTGACATCTGAAAGCAGGCCTAAAGGAAATAAAGGAGAGGTGATGTGGATACCCAGAGGGACAAGTGCGAGGCCCTTGAGGTTTGGTGTGCTTGGCACATTCAAGAAACAATAAAGGAAACAGAATGGCAGGACAGCATTGGTCAGGAGCAGACTTGTGTGATTGGTCAAAGGTGTGCAGGATCAAATCACATCGTTTCCTTACAAGCTGTATATAAAGGGCCTGAATTCTTTTTGTGAGAGAGACAAATTCTTCAGAATGGTTTGAACAGAAGATTGTCATAATCTAATTTTTATTTTCTGAGGATCAATGTGTGAGAGAAAGTAGTTGAATCTTAAGATCAATTTGGAGATGGTTTTTCATCCGAGACATTACTGGCAACTTGTGATGTGGAAGAGATAACGTGATGAAAATCAGGTTTCATTGTCAAGATGAGGCCAACAGACTTGGATGTTTAGGACTTTCCAAAATAATTTTGCCTGAGCCACTGGGAAGACATTTACTGAGACTAGAAAAGCTGGGAGTTCATCTGGGAAGGAAGATCCCCACTGACATCCTAGTGGGGTGACTGGCTTGGCAATCTGAGATTCAGAGGAGAAGTTGAGGCTGGTGATATAAATCTGGGACTCACTCAGAGTATAGACAATATCCCTCTAGTTATATGAATTGAGTTGAGCCTAATGTTTAGATATTGAGAATACGAGGAGTAATGACACAAAAAGTTGCTCCAAAGAAGCCAAGAGAAGTGAACAAGTCATTTTCAAGGAGAGAGAGGAAATGCTGCTACAGATGTCAGTGCATCAAATAGTTAAAAAGTAACTGACCCTAAATTTGACAAAAGTAACAGGTGACTTTGAGGAGAATAATTCCTTCCTGTAGAGGTAAGGACAAAGTCTGCATTAACAGGAGTCCAACAGAGAATCCAGAAGCATTGTGACAGGAAAGGGGCCCGGTGAAGGGAAATTTGCTTGCAGCCTGGAGTTCAAAAGAGGACTATTCATCAGTGTTAGCAGTCACTCAGTAGAGAGGGGCATTAGGTGATGCAGGAGGAAGAAGGGGCATCTGCTGTTGTGATAGTCTTGGACAGAAGAGAAGATAAAGATCTAAAACATATAGATAGATCACTATAAACATTTTATTCGTTTAAGAGAAATTCAGAGCCAAATATGTAAGTATGTTGGTAGGGTCTAGTAGTGGGAACTTCTGGAAATTCTCTTCTAAACTGACAACTTTGATTTCTCGGAAACGGAGTTATTAGCTGAGAGCTAGGATGGAAGGAAGAAGATTCTGGAGGCACAAGAAAAGGAATAAAAGTCAGCCTGATGGCCAAGATAGCAAATGCTAAGTTTCATGGATGATGGAGACCATGAGACTACTCAGCTCTGCAGTGCAGCCTGAGAGCAGCAAGAAACAACATGTACGTGAATGGACACAGCAATGTTATGAAAACTCTCCCTGACAGACCTGGCAGAAAGCTATTTGTCAACTCTGGGCCTCAGAGAAGGGCTGCTCTGCATCACTAAAGGCCTGCATGATTTTTAGTTTTAAATCCTTCCACCATCCTATCCTTATTCCTCAGACATATTTCTGTTTGTCAGAATTAGAACCATTAGCCTGAGATGATGCTAATTTATAGTGGGACTATGAAGATACTCTTTTTGCGTGTGTGGCAGTACTGGGGCTGGAACTCAAGGCCAGGGCATTCTCTCTTATTTCACTTAAGATTTGAGTTCTATCTCTTGAGCTACAACTCCCCTTCTAGCTTTTTCTGGTTAACTGAAGATCTTCTGTAGAACCATGAGCTTCAGATCACACTCCTGAGTAGCTAGAATTGCAGGTGTGAGCCACTAGGACTCAGCTATCTTTTTAGTCATACTACAGAGGGTAGGAGAGAGTCAATGGTGTTAAGTGGCCTATTTTAAGAAGTCTGGGGAGTTATCTGGGACTATTTCTACTGGCAGATGATTAGCATGATTTTTAACGCTGTATCAATTAAGGGTAAGTTCCTGTTGTCTCGAATATGCCTTTATGTCTACATCAAGGACTTAGCTTCTGTTCCCGGTCATCTTCTCCATGTCCTGTTCTTTGGGAGGGATGGTAATGACCCTCAGCTCTTCAGACTCACGCCATTTTTTTCAGCAGTGTGATCATCTCTCCCCAGTGTGGCCTTGTGTAAAACAGGTTTGGTTTCTAAGTGGGAATGTGAGGGAGCTGCAGAACTTAGCACACAGGACTGAGCCTTACTTCCTCTCACCTGTATGGGCTCCAAAGCCATGAGGCTGAGCTCCCACAACTTTGATTCAGAGACAGTCTTTATTTATTTTACAGACAACCGGTAGCAGCATTAGCAAAAAAAAAAAAAAAGCTAGGACTGAGAAGAGGTAAAAGAAGTTGCGTGTGTGTGTGTGTGTGTGTGTGTGTGTGGTGTGTGTGTGTGTGTGTGTGTGTGTGTGGGCATGCGTGCGCATGCGTGTGCCACTACTGGAGCTTGAACTCAGGACCTCTTACTCGCTCATGCCTTTTTTGCTCAAGGCTGGCACTCTACTACTTGAGCCCTGCCCCTACTTCCTGCCCCTACTTGGTTTTTATATGAACACACATTTGTAAGGAACTCTTAAACATCCTTTGCATCATGATTAAGATTCTAAATTATAAACTTTTCTTTCAGGAGGAAGCATTTTTTATGAGAACCAGAGACTGAGAACTAATTAAATATGTATTTTAGGCATGAAAGGCTATTCCTTTTCAAAATAGATTTCAGGTTAACTTACTTATTTTGTGTTTACTTGGCATCTTCTAGTTAAATAAGAAACACTGTTATCTTGGTTTTTCTGGTGTCCACATAATTTCTAGAAGTCTTCACAGAACAATCAGTCCTATAGTACACCTTATAAACAATTTTCAGGAAAGCTTTTGACAGGGTCAAAGATGCTGTTTCTTCCCTGGAGAACTGTTTCATGCCAGAGACAATACATATCCTAGACAGTTCATAAAACAGCACTGTTGGGAAACACCACCTAAGCCAGATGTTCTCTGGGCTCCCTTTCACAGCTCCATAATTCAGTGATCTCATTCAAGAAACCCATGAATTTATTAATGTATGTGCAGAACTCTCCTGTGGCAGAAGAGACAAGATAACGAACAGCCCTTGATCTAGACTTTCACATTTTTGGTCTATTTCATTTATCTATGTGAAATTAATTATAAACAGTTTACCGAACACTACTAAGCCAGACCAAAAAAGCATTGAAAGATTAATGTATAACTGTCAGAAGAGTTATTTAAGAGCCTTATTTCAAGGTCTGCTTTGAGAGTTAAAAAGAAAATCTCTGTAATACATAATTAAAGCTATTCATATGGCTTTCAGTATTTGAGAAACGTTATGAATGTAAATGAAAAGTCTGTTTTCTTTTACAAATAGAGTCATAAAAATATCGGGTCCATTCCCCCATGGTTAAAAAATCAACTTGAACAGGATTCCCTTAGGAAAGGACATATAATCAACGAATACTCTTCCTGTGACAAAAAGTAAAATAGTAAAGTTTTAAGTATGACAATACTGTCTTCATTGTCTTAAATTTAAAAATCACTGTGCTAAATACCTACGTAAAGCATCACACAAACACTGCTACCAAAGGAAGCAAAACTAGGAAGAAAGCATGCTTTCAATAATAGAGGATACTTTTAAAAAATGTCCTTCAGTACAAATTCATGACATTTCAATAAAATCTTACTCATTATTATATAATATGTCTGTTCTATTATAAACTTAGAAATTCAGTAAGTAAATTTGTTTTGCTATTTTTAAACAGAAAACACAAACCAAAAGGCTAATGGAATTGAAAAAAAAATTGTATGGAAGTGGCACTGTGGCTCGAAGTGGTAGAGCACTATCCTTGAGTGAAAAAGTGCAGGGCCTTGTACTTGTTTAGGTAGATGCTCTGCCACTTGAGTCACATCTTTTATTTTTTCAGTCCTGGGGCTTGAATTCAGGGACTGGGCACTGTCCCTGAGCTTCTTTTGCTCAAGGCTAGCACTCTACACTTGAGCCACAGTACCACTTCTGGCTTTTTCATATATGTGGTACTGAGGAATCAAACCCAGGGCTTCATGCCTGCTAGGCAAGGCAAACACTCTACCACTAAGCCACATTCCCAGCCCTTGATCACATCTCTAGTTCTAGGATTTCTTTAGTACAATTTAACTGCTGATAGATACTCAAATATTTGGCTATTAATTTTTATTATTTACAATTGTCACATAATATAAATAATTGGTTTAAATGGAGACTAGGAGACAATGGGAATAGTTACTAAATCCTCAGTCAATGGCCAACTGAACCAAAGAACCTGTTTCCAAAGTTCAACACATTGTAAATTACTCATTGCTGATCTCATTAGAAAGGGGGAACATTGGGGCTGCGAAGGTGGCTCAGTGGTAGAGCTCTTGCCTTGCATGCATGAGGCCCTGGGTTCAATTCCTCAGCACCACATAAGCAAAAAGAAAAAAAGCCGGAAGTGGAATTGTGGCTCAAGTGGTAGAGCGCCAGCCTTGAGCTGAAGAGCTGAGGGACGGCACCCAGGCCCAGAGTTCAGACCCCACAACCGGACCCCCCCCCCCCCCCCCGCGGGGGAACATTTGCATACATTTTGACAAAGCTTTGTTAATCCCTTAGTCTTATGGAAAGAATTAAGGGAATAGAACTCATGAATATTTATTGATGTGAAGGTGGTAGCATGGCAGACAAAATAATGGTGCAACCAAGGCATGTTAGAAACCTTCAACATTCATATCAAAAAGCAATGAGAGGATCATGATGACACTGATTAGCACCTAAATCTTTCAAGTACTTGGTGTGCTAAGCCCTTACTGATTTTCATGCCGATATTTAATCTTCCAAATGACCTAATGATTGAGGTAAGAATGTTTAAAAGGCAGTTTGCACCATGGTAAAAACATCTCAGAGGTAGGGTGCTTTGGTCAAAAGTCCAGCCCTACCACATTCTAGCTCATCAGGAAAATGGTAGCAATTACAGCTGGGTTACTTCTGAAAAGCAAAGAACTCAGAAGAGCATCCAGCATGCATACAGTATTATCAAAAAACTTGTTTTCTTCTCTGTAACATGAGTGTTGTTCAAGCAGAGCCAAGAGAAGAACCCAGGCAGTCTGGTTCTGGAGGCAGCACTCTAAAACCTCAGGTTCCATAAGATTGATTAGAATATATTATTAACTAAGTGGAAATGGAATTAAAATGAAACCTCAGGTTATGTTGCCTAGACTGAAATTCATCTGTACACCAGGATTGCAGGCTCTTTCCACCCCGTTTCTACCTTCTTTCGTGCTGCTAGGGATGAAACACAAAGTCTCATGAAAACCAGGCAAGCTCTTTACCACTGAGCCACATCCCCAGCCCTCGCAGGAATGTTTTATATTACTTTGTTTCAACCTTGTGAGAACCTTCCATCTCCATTTTACAGAGATAATGATCATATATGCAAGGCAGTACCCACAACAGTGTATGGAAACCATGAAGACAAAGGCCTGAAGGACATCTTATAAGCACTTAGAGAGTTCACACCCCTAAGGAACTTGATCAAAGGGACCAACTAGAAGGAAGGGACCAACTAGAGGGAAGAAGGGCGGTAGACAATTCAAGACTAATGCTCTCTTAGTTCTAAGCACATGTCACAGCATTCAAACAGGCAAGAAAAAAACTTTAATGACAAAAGGAAGAAAGAAGCCAACAGAGGAGTCCTCTGGTATGTAGGAGATATGTACAACATGGCCACATCTCTCTGGGATGGTGGCTATCTTATCTTTATGAACCCAAAGTTTTCAACAACCTAGAAGCCTTTTTTCCTACACTAATACATTTTACCATGTTGCAGAAAGAAGGAATTAATGTTCATTCCAATTGCTTTAAGTACACTCTGGGGTACAGAATGAAGTAATCTGAAGTATCAGATTATTGTACTCAACCAATGTAGATGCTCAATTTATATGCATATAAATGACATATCAAATAAAATATATCTAGAAATTACACATACATATGCATCCAAATTTTGAAAAACACAGGCATTTATTTCTAATTCTGCCCCAAGAACCTGATGGCAAAATTTTGTTAGTTTTCTTTAAGCCTGTCCCATAGGATTTGAACTACTGATTCCATCCAGAGGACTTAGACAGATGAACTTGTAGTCATCTGATAAAACTGGTAGGTCTAGAGGACAGCAGATCAATCAGAGGAGATGACAGCTGCTTTCCACATAATCATGCCTTCCAGTAACTTTCCCTCCCGACATTTCAACCCAAATGGAATCTATTGCTGATCTAATTATTGATTTACTGGTTTCATAATTTCATTCCTCTGTATGACCTGCAGATGTGTAGTTATATTACCGTTGTTGAATAAAAGGACACAGTCCCAAAGGTTTGTACATCTTTTTGAGAAATAAGATTTCATTCAAACAGAATTTTGCCTGTAGAACAGGTTCAAAAACAAATAAAGGAAAACGATATTAATTTATTTAAACATTTTAACCTGTGAAATCTTGACTGCTTCTAACTAGAATCAACAAATTTAGAAGCTTCAAGGTGAAAAGCAATGGTCCAACTAGGCTAAGAATCTTCAAATGGTCTACTTTGATGATATAAAGGTAAGTTTCTAGCACCAGGGTTTTTATGCCACAATAGTATGGTTCCTACTCAAAGTATGCCAGGGCCGTAACTGCCAAGCTGGGGCGGAAGGTATGATAATTTGTCTGGCTATTGCTGCTGTCAGCTAGTTAGAAGGGAAGGTCTGCCCTAAGATGCTTCTCCTTCCAGTGTCAAGATTTCTTCCCTTACTTTCTTTGGGATATGTAGTCTCTCTCTCTCTCTCTATATATATATGTATATTTCCCTCACCTGTGAATCACTGTACAACAGTATCCTTTTATCCACAAGGGACATGCCTGTCCCAAGACCCCAGTGAAGAGCTGAAACAATGATAGTACCGAACTCTTATACATACTATGATTTTTCATATATATATATATATATATGTATATATATATATATATATACATACACACATATGTGTGTATATATAGTAAACTTTAGTTTACAAGTTAGACATTGTAAGATATTACCAGCAATAGAATAAGACAATTACAACAACATGCTACAATAAAATTATGTGAACATGGTATTTCTCAAAATCTAAAATATATGTGTACATGTAATGATGTGAGATGAGATCAATGATATAGTTATGTGACCTCACATTAGGCTACTTATACCCTGACACTTGCTATGATAAGTAAGACGGTGGCTAAATGACTAAAGCATTGGTAGGGAACACAAGATGGACATGTTGGACAAAATGATGGTTCAAATCCCAGGTGGGACAGAACCAGATGGATCAAAATACCATCATGTTATTCAAAGTGACCGACAATCTAGACTTATGAATTGCTTACTTCTGGACTTTTCAGCTGAATATTTCTGGACAGTGGGTAACTGAATCTGTATAAAGGAAAATTTTGTAAATATACTTAGCAATTTAGGGCCCTTCTAGTGAAATACCATTATGTCAAACCTAAGCACAGTTTTCCCACCAATATGACTATACACTGAGTATAAAAAGTAAAATCCATGTAATGTGCAGAGACTCCTTACCATGCTCAATAGAGAAAGGGTGGTCATAGAACAGATCATACCTGAGAATCTGGAACACTTTCTGCTTCAGTCACAGCTATGTCTCTGCCACTACTTTCTTCATCCTGTTCAATTGCTTAAAAAAAAAAAGAACAATATTAAGCAAACATAGCATCAAAAATTTTAGAATCTTATTTCTGAGACATTTAATACTAAGTAGATTCATAAAATGAAAACCACAGCACTTTTTTGATATTCACATGTGAAGTTATCTATAATACTCGGTAATTTTTTATTCAAGTACATGTTCTCCTCCACTAAATCAAAGGCAACGGGAAAAGGTAATCTCAGTTCTTCCTTCACCAAAGCCCATTCTGACATCATCATTTCAGTATTGGGCTTTATCAGTGTGGGTAAGGGTCAGATGAAGGCCTGTACTCAGTTGTGAGGATACTGAGTGATGATTGATGATAGATTGATTGACTGATTGAACTGATTGACTGGTTGTGGATTTGTGGCTAGTAGTGTAAATGTTATACTACAGAGGAAGCACAGTATTTGTTGCTTGTACATTCTAGCACAAAATTCCATACTGTGGAGTCTTGAATCCACCTCCTGTTCCCTAGCATCTCCATGCCCAAGTTCTTACCACTTTTTCTTCCTGTTGAAATAACCTCCTACGCACAACTTTTGACTTCAGTCTCTTTCTTATCCAATCCAGTTTGCACACACAACTGCTAAAATAGTTGTCTCAAAAAACAGAAAAACAGGAAGCTGGGTGCTAGTGGTTCATGCCTGTAATCCTAGCTACTCAAGAGGCTGAGATTTTGAGAACTGTGGTTCAAAGCAAGCCTTGGCAGAAAAATCTGTGAGACTCATCTCCAATTAACTAGCAAAAAGCTAGAACTGGCACATGTGCCTGTGCATACATGCAAAAACGCATACACACACACACACACACACACACACAAAAACAACATGTGTGAAGCTCTGGCTTAAGCACTGCTTATCTTCTCTTCTCCCCTTCACTTTCCACATAGGATTCCTGTTTAGTTTTGCCTAAGGAAGGCTTTGTACCACAATCTACCCATATATGCTTCTTGAGGGCTGGGATTTTGTATATGACACCAGGCCTGGCTTCTTTGTTGAATTAGGGTTTTGCTAACTTTTTGCCACAGCTGGCCTCAAACTATGATCCTCTCAATACCCATCTCCTTGCAAACAGCTGAGAATACGGACATGTATCACCATGCCCAGCCTCTACATTGCTTATCGTAACAAACCTAAACTTACTTATTCTCATCACTGAGTAGTTTCCGACAACTCTGTCTTCCTCTATATGTCAATTTCACACATACCATAAAAAATGTGTTTTGCACATCTCTGGTAGAAGCAGGATGATATAATTATTTTTGTCTATGTATTAACTACTCTCATTTGAACAAATATTTACTGAGTACCTACTATAGGTTCAACACTCCCCCCGCCACAGTGGATATGACATAAAAACTCTATAAACTAAAATATTACCTGAAGAAATAGTCAATAGCAGCTACTACTACTATCAATAGCAATAATGAAAGAAACTAAGATGAAATTAAAAATCACCATAAGATCCTTAAAAGAACAAAAAGGGAAATAAATGGTAGAAGACCAGTAGGGAGGTTGTTTTAAAGAGGTAGCCATGGAGAAGAGTCCTTCTCTGAAGAAATGATATTTGGGCTGAAACCTGAAGATTAAGATGGAGAGAGAGTATGGAGATGATGGGAGAGTATTGACTATAATAAATTCATATTTGTCTCTAAGGACATAGTGAGTCATTGAAGACTTTTAAATTGGGAATTGTATTAGTTGATGTATATGTTGCCAAGTTCTTTTTTTTTTTTAAACTTCTTTGTGAACACACTCAGCAGAAGCAAGTTCATGTGAGGAAAGGAGTTAGATGACTTGTTTCTATGTCTTCCCTAGAGATGACAGTGACTCAGACCAGAGAGGTGGCCATTTAGCAGGATTTGAGTTGCACTACTTTTAGGTAACATGAACACAAATTGTCAATGAGTTGAACATAGCCCAGGTGGGAAGCTCACAACCAATGGTGATCCTAAGCAGAGTAAGTTCTTCTTGTATTCACCATCACAGTCGCCCTTCTGCCCTCTCCAAGCAGAGCAAACAAACCTAGCTGGCAGTGAGCTCACCCACTGTACTTACACCTGCAGCTTGCCTTCTTTTGTGTACTTTTAGATATTATGCTTTCTGCTCTGCATTTTTGGAATATCATTGCCTGTACCTTTTGCTTTTGTATGTCTTCCATGCCTGCCGTGTGGTGCCTACCATGCAACTTAGCTACAGTGCCCTTGCGCATAGGAGCACGCTGTGACTGTTCACAGGGACACACAATGCAGCCCCAGGTGAGCTAAGGGGCCTCCTGTGACAACACCTACTTCCACAATAAGTGACTTCTTTTGGAACTGTTCATGAAAGGAGGAGGGAGGGAAATTCTGTTCAACTCCTCATATAACTGAGACAACTCCTACCAGCCGGGTCCCTAGAGGTAAGGTAGGAACAGCAGAAGTAGGTAGAAGCTTTTCTTCTGTTTTCAGCTAAAAATTGTTCTACTGTTGCCAGCTAGAAGGAAATTTAAGAATAAAGAAAAACACTCATGTTTTCTTTGAAAATCAGAGGTAAGAAGACAAAGGGAAAAATAAAATTTAGAATAACATCCTGACTTGTAACCCCCACTTAAAAAGTACAATGGGCTATAAAAGTAAGGAACTACTCTTCAGCAAATGGAATAATATAAGAAATCTTATCTTGGAGAGCTACCAATATTACACCACTGTGGGATCATCCCACATGAGGACCAACTGTATTTTGGCACTTATTTTTGTTGTATTTTACTCTTTTTTTTTTTTTTTTTGCTCTTCAAAGCTTTAATTTTCATGAATAATGAGGAAAATTAAACCTTCCACTATTTTAGCCCACTAAAGTCATGCTTTACATTTTAAAGCAATGTATACAATCTAGACATATCTTATTCTTACCTAATTAATCTAGCACACAGGATATATTTAGGACAATTAGTAACAAATTTCAGGACTGATAGTCATCACTATTTTTTCTAGATTTAGGCACATCACAGTCCTCCCTTTGGTGGTACTTTGGTTTCAACACAGTCTAGGCATATGCCACTCTGGCAGCCATTTTGTGTTGGTTATTTATGGGCTATGGTGAGTCTCACTTTGCATGCCCACCCTGGCTTGAACCACAACCTTCCTATTTGTTCCCAGTATCACTGGAATGACAGGTGTGTACCACTATTTCCAACTATTGCACTTCCTCCACAGTTGATGTAATAGGTAAGTACCACTGTGTAGCACTCAAGACATTGGTTGAGGGAAAGGGGTCTCATTTTTCAATTTTTTTTTTTTTTTGCCTAGGCTGGCTTCAAACTGTGACTCATGGATCTCAGCCTCCCAAGCAGCTTTTACTTGGGAGCTTTTTGTATTAAAGACTTGAGTCAGCACACCTGACGAGATTTAGCCACAATTCTCAAAGCATAGTAAGTATAAAAGCATACTTAAGCCAAAAGTTAGTGCTGTCTTCTAGCTCAGCCTCAACAGCATTACTATATTTATTTGCTTATTTTGCAGTGTTGAGGAGTTAAGCTATGACCTTGTACATGCTAGGAAAGTATTCTCCCCCTGAACCATATCCCCACCCGCCCTAATTCTACATTTATTGTCTTTTTTTTTTTGTTAGTTGTGGGTCTTGAACTCTGGGCCTGGGCACTGTCCCTGAGCTCTTCAGCTTAAGCAAGCATTCTACCACTTGAGCAACAGCACCACTTTGTCATATCTTTAACAACATAAACAATGTTGTCTTAGCTGGGTGCCAGTGGCTCATGCCTCTAATCCTAGCTACTCAGGAGGCTGATATCTGAGGATTCCAGTTCAAAGCCATCCCAGGCAGCAAAGTCTGTGAGACTCTTATCTCCAATAAACCACTTAGAAAACTGGAAGTGGTGCTGTGGTTCCAGGAGTAGAGTTCTAGCATTGAACTGAAGGGCTGAGGGACAGCGCCCAGGTCCAGAGTTCAAGCCCCATGACTGACCAAAAAAAACAAAAAACAAAACTGTCTTACACTACACCCAAATTAGCAGAGTGAGAATCTGAAAGTCAAGTGACCTGGCAAAGGTATCTCACATCCATCTTTTTTTTTTTTTGGTACTGTGCTTGAACTCAGGGCCTTGAGCTCTCACTTGGTGTTTTTGCTCAATGCCGGTGCTCTAACACTTGAGCCACAGCTCCATTTGCAGTGTTTTGCTGGTTAATTAGAGACAAGAATCTCACAGATTTGTCAGATTGGCTTCAAACCTCAATCCTCAGACCTAAGCCTCCTCAGATATTAGCTAGAATCACAGGCATGAGCCACCAGCACCAGCCCTCCTGTCAATCTTCATATTGGAGAGAGTCTCTCATTCTATTAGACTCTCAGCCTTAATACCCCAAGAGCCAAGAAAACAGAATGCCCAATTCTATTTCTATTATATAAACTTATAACCCCATTTTCTCAAAAACACTGATAAATCATAACTCCCAGGATACATGTAGCCAATGTTCCCATATATCCCTGAAGTTCCAAGGATTTATGATCAGTTCATGAAGTTACATGTACAAAACCCATAGTCAGGATCATCTAAAAGGGAGAGCTCTACTGAGCCTATAATTCATTGATTAATGTCAATTCCTTCATGCCCTCTAACATCAAATATCCTATGGTAGAAGGAGGAAGTAGTTATTTAGATTGTGGGCTCAATTTTTCTTTTATCTGATCAAATAAGGGTAGGTTGGGGAAAATTTTCCTGTGCAAATATTGATTCTGGGACTGTTCCCTCCAGCAGAACACGTACACAGGAATGACAGATTCTAGGACCAGGGAGGCTTGGACCTCACTCTCTGCCAACACAAACTATTCCTTATCTCTCTACTCACAGAATGTAAAAGCAAAAAATGGCCTTTGAAAATAGCTTACCATAACAAAAACACATCATGCAGGACATGTACTCTGAACAGGGAACATTAGAGCCCACAAAAGAACTAACAGTATATGTGAATTAATTAGCACTAATTCACTTAA